TTCATATGCATACATTTACACACATGCATACACACACACGCATACACGCGTATGCACGCGTGTGAACGCGTTTGCACGCGCGCGCGCGCGCACGCACACACACACACACACGCACGCACGCACACACACACACACACACACACACACACGCACACACACACACACAAACACACACACACACACACACACACACACACACACACACACACACACACACACACCTGGGTACATGCATCCGACAAGCATGCGCCATGCGCCACGCGCGAGAGCGCACATATCCCCACACATCCCCCAACTCACGCGAACACACGCCTACACACACACACACAGCAAAACCAAACAGAAATGATGGAGCGTCCGCTTTTGAGTCGACTCAAAAGCAGGGCCCGAAGAGATGGAGCGTCCAGGAATGCGACGCATCATCTACTATTCGCACACTCGCCACTTGCCACCTGCCACCTGCCTAGCGGTAAAAGTGCCACGACAACCACGCACGGACTCTTGAAAACAGAGATTCACTACTGCCGTCGCCTGCAGGCCATCGCCACCACTACGTGCCAACCATGATCCCCTACGCGCCACTCGTTTCTCCTCGTTCGTGTCTGCCAAGCTGCCCGCGCTTAGCAAGGAGGGACCGGCCAGCAACGTATCTGGACCATTCCTTTCTCTCCTTCCTTCCATTCCTCTCCTTCCTCTCCTTCTTCCGCTTCCCTTCCTGTGTCGCGATTTGCACTGCCGACAACAGCTCATCCCCTGCCACGTGGCACGCCTGATGGTGTTCCGCACTAAGCATCATCCCGCTCATCGCTGCACCCCGCCACCCCGCCATTCCGCCATGCCCCCACCCCGCCATGCCTCCATTCCATCATCCCGCCATTCCCGCATCCCGCCATTCCCGCATCCCGCCATTCCCTCATCCCGCCATTCCCGCATCCCGCCATTCCCTCATCCCGCCATCCCTCATCCCGCCATTCCCTTACTCCGCCAACACGCCATCCGCATTGCAGAATGGCAGCCATTCCCCTGCTCCTTTTCCTCTGCCTTCTGCTTCCCCACTGCTGCTACCCTCATCCATGCCACCTACTCATCCTCATCACCCTCCTCTTCCTCCTCATCCACCTCCTCCCCTTCCTTCTAAGTCTCCTCCTTCCCCTCGCCCGCTTCCTCTTCACCTCTTCCCCCCAGTCACCCTCACGCGTCGTACGGAACTCAAGCAAATACTACTACTGGTAGTCGCCGTGTTACAGCGACGACAAACCTGGCGTCGCACGTATCGTGCAACTCGTGCCTCCGACACCACTAGTACCTCTCACCTCCCAACTGGCACAGTCGAACTTTCCCGCCAAAGAATTTCGAGTCGGCTCGAAAATCGTCGAGGTCATAATGGATTCTCACCTGCTAATCTGCACGGTCACATCTCTTCGCCTAGCGGCATGAGTTCATGCAGCAAGCGTTGCCGCAACCACCCCGCGTCCCTCTGACGCGGCGTCACACCGGGCCGATATCCCGCCACGTCAGCTTCGCGGTTTGGCACGTCCCCTTCGAAGCGCGTCGAGGCGACGGTCTAGAACGCGGTGGGAATGCGTATGAATTAACTCGCTCGCAAACGACCCCGCGTCGTTTTCTCTGTCAAGGTAACCAGTCATTCGCTTACGACGCAGTGTCTCTACGAGGTCCAGCAGTGGTGTGAAAGTACAGATAACTCCGGACAGTCGGAAGGTTCGCGACGCTCGCTAGTATCGCCCAACTCTATAAAGAAATTTCGTTGCGCTCGTTAGTCGTTGTGTCTCGTCGACACAAGGTGCCAGCGCGTGCCTGGGCGGAAAAGCAGCGTTAGATGCGCCGCAACAGACGCGCGAGGATCATGGAGCCGGCCTATGCGATTGCGTAGCAGTCGGGACGGGAAAAGAGCTGTGCGCGAGATCCAGTCTACGTTAATGATCTCTGGCTTATTGGGAAGCTTTACGCAGACTTAATCGGGGCAACGGTGACGGTCGCTTCTAGCACCCAGTCAACGCATCTGCTCTTCCCTGGGCCTAGGAGAAATAGCCTATGAAACGCCGAGAATAGCTTATGGAACGCCGTCTATTGACGGGGTGGACGTGCTACCTGCAGTCCAACAAACCATAGGCTCTTAAGGACGTGGTTCTTAGTCCCAAGATCGTGCGCGATTGGCGCAGTCGTAGGCGGAAGATAGCGATGAGACGCGCTTCCGCGCGACTTTCTCGAGAGGTCTCTACAGCTATTCGCGTTATTAGAGAGGAGCATGCGAGACACAGGCCCTACTATTCGAAACGAGCTACTACGGAGTTAAGATGCACGGTGGTCACAAGCAGCTAGAGGGTGTTTGTGGGGAATCCTAGTACAGCGTGCAGGAAGAGTCCTAGTCTGGGTCACTGAAGCAGAGCCCCTTGTTGCCCTACACGACGCGGGAAGCCACCGCAATCTGCCTCGCAACCTGCGTCTCGGCCTGTCTCTATCGCGCGCATTCGGCCTCTAGGCAGGCCTGACTAATCTCCCAGCTCTCAAGCCCTATCGCCAATTCTGGCTCTGATTTCATGAATGACATATCTGCCCACCTTGGGACTCCCACCTGGCCAGTCTTGGGATTCCATGCGAATCGCGTGCCTTACAAATGCAGAATTCGCATTTCGTGGGCGAAGGGACATGGGGGATGGGAAAGCCAAGATGGGTTAGGTACGGCGCGGCGTTCCCAAGGGCAGCAGCACAGCCTAGGGAGAGAGCTCGAAAGTGACTGGTTACGGCGGATCCATCCTTTCTGGGCCCATCACCCATCATCCAGTTTCGCGCCTCGACGTAGGGGTGACCGGCGGGGGAATGGGTGCCTGAGGGGGGCCGTATGAGTCCGACGAGGGGGATGGTTGGGGGAGTAGTGCGTGATCTGTGGGCTGTGAAAAGATAACATATGTCACTCTTCCACGAGTCGTTCACCTGAGATCGCGCCAGGAATTTTTGATTAATACCTGTTACACTCTCGGTGTGACTTTCAGAGTTGTATTTGACGTGCTGTTTAGCAAAGTCACCCCTCCTGAACTGCATGTTTTAAAGTGGCTGCTAGTTAAAATGATCTGCAAATCGAACTTTAGGAATTTGAACAAGTCCGGAAAGCTAGAGGGGGGGGGGGGGGGGGGGGGGGGGGGTTGGGGGTGGCTGTTTGACCCCGCCCAAAACATGGACTTGACGCAGCGCGCGGTGAAGGAACAGCAACAGCCTTCTTGAAAAGAGGCGCGAACCACGAGCCGCTGAATGATTCAAATTGATGGGGTCTGCTCTGCAATTTCAGTCAGGCACTAAAACCCGACATTATCCTGCTTCATGAAAGTTACGGTTAGGTAATTCCCAACAACTAACTGCAGTAAGAACAGCCATCCTCTCAAATATGAATGCAATGCTACAAATATTATCAGCAAGGAGTAGCCTCCAATATGTGGCTGAATTCAGTGGTACTGAGATTAATCGGGATATATTCTTTATGCATGGGTCTTCGTGCTGCTTATAAGAAGGTGATGGCGCCAAGGATGATGAAGCCCTTCCTCTATTGTTTTCTCTATAAGTGTTTGCTCATGCCTTCACTCACATCTGTACTCGTTTTAGGGCGCGTAACCATTTTGCCCCTGACGGTTCGTTTTTGGACGATAAGTTCTAAACGCTATGTGATTGGTTGTCACTGCCCTCGCAAATGACCGTAACATCTTTGCGAGGACAGTGACGACCAATCACACCGCTTTTTTAACGGACAGTCCGTCTGCGAGGGCAGGACAAAATGGTTACGCGCCCTTACTCTTCAGTGCGATCCTCACTCTCTACGTCAATGCACCTGTAACCTTCAAGATAATAACGATGGGTCCAGCAGCAAAGCCTTTGAGCATCTCGAGATTGTCACAATTATTGATGTTACCTGCGCGCTTCGATTCTTCATTGACGTTGCGAAGCTGACCTGGTTCAAAGCGAAGTGAGCATTGGTGGGTGGGTTGAAATGGGGTGTGGCGTGGATAATGGCGTGTGTGGGAACCCTACATTTCTCGGTTCGTAGGGTCCAATGGATTCTTGAAAGTGGAAGCCGTCAATCAACCGTCAATCAACCAGCGTGGCGAGCCATGAATGGAGAATGGCGTCAACAATTTAGGTTCAGGGAGATTTCGAGGTGGCATGCATCGCGTTCCACTTGTTCTGTTCCACAACACCCAAATATCCTCCACCACCCGCACCAAAACCCCTTTCGCCGCGTTTGGAGCAACATCGACGGAACGGAGCTCGGGGTTCCCCTGGGTTCAGGTGTAATCTGTACCCCCTCCGCCACCTCCGCTCACGCTCTCGAAGACACAAGCCATGCCCATTGGGCTGGTCAGCCCCCTATTTGGCGCGGCTCGAAAACACCAGCCCATCAATCCGTCCGTCAACCCCTGGTTTCCGCCCATTCCATCTTCCCCTCGCCTTTCCGTTGCTTCCCCGCACCACAAAGACCCATCCGTCACATTCCCACCACGCTTCTCCCCCAGCCACCATTTCCCGAAATAGGACCAGAATCCAATAGGGTGATTTTCTTTCGAATATACTATATTTGCTCGCTTTGCTCACAAGCTTTTCTCAGCCTTTTTGTGAGAGCGTAGGGGAAACGGCAGCCTTTCTCGAAGATTCCGCACCACAGAAGTGTCACACTTCCTTCGAATACAGCACCAGGTTTTTCCGGGTTTCCAATTGTGTCCCCTGGGGCAGGTGCTAGTGAGTGCCCCCTTGTCGTTCCCCCGACAGCTGCCTCTGCCTCGAGTTGATGCCACCTGCACTCCTCTCCAACCCCCACATTTTTGCATTCGCTCAAATTCGCTTCCGCCAACCTCACACGGCATTATTGTTGGGTTTGCTTTGTTGACAACATCGAGGCATCCATTTTGCGTGATTTACTTTCCAATAGACCACTTGGCGTTTGCCATTTCTTTGTGTCTTTTTTTTTTCTGCGTCTTCTTGGTCTCTCCTCAGCCATGGCTTTTAGCTTCCGCAGTTGTTTCGCGAACTGTTTCATCTTCATCCTCACCGTCCTTCACATCATCGTCCTCGCCGGATCCATCGCAGCCGTCGCTCTCATCTTCGTCATCCGACCTAACCCCACCTTCCCAGCGGGTTGGGGCTTCATCATCGTCGGCGCCGTCACCTTCCTCGCCGCAGTCTTCGGCGTATTTTTCTCAGGCCGATTCGGCTGCTGCGGGATTCACCTCCTCCTTCACGCGCTCTCCATCGCCGGAACATGCGCTACGGGCATAATCGCCGTTGTGAAGCCCGACACGCTCGTTGGCGACATGCAAGCGACCATCGATCTGGATAAGGCCCACGATCTCGTGATCGTTGAAGGCGGGATTATGCTCGCGCTTTTCATGCTCCAGCTCGTGTTGATTATCCTCATGTGCTGCGCGCAGTCGTGCGGGTGCCTGGACGTGGGATACGAGGAGCTTGACTCCGCGTCGAACGCGAAGAAAGCGGCGGCTGAGGCGATTAAGGAGGAGCAGCGCCGCGCGCGGATTGAGGCGACGAGCGCGCACCAGCTGGCGCAGAAGATGAAAGAGAAATACGGGATGGTGGCGGGCGGCAAGAACAAATCGGATTACGATATTGAGAAACGATAAGCTGGACTGTCGCATACTCCGACGTAGGCAGACGACGTGTTGCTGAGTTGGCGGTGTTGGGGAGTTACAGAGCGGATTGCCAGCTGGGGTGTCAGTTTCAGCTGTCAGTACCAGATGTCAGTTTCAGCACTTTATTTCCCTTCCTCGCGTCGTCGGTCTGCTTTTCGCATCCCTCCTCCCTGTAAAGTCCCTTCCGCATCTTCCGCCGTAGTTTCCGCTTTTTCCGCTCTGCGACAAGCTTTACCCTGCACACTTCACCCTGCGCGCTTCATCCCTGCTCTCGCCTCTCTGCAAGCCCTGTGCCGCTGACGCCGGCGCCCTGCACGCTGGCTGTTGGGCGGTTAGCAATAATTGCAGGTGGACGTTTGGCTGTGATGGTGATGGTGTGGCTGTGGGGACTGTGGCCCGTGATGGCCGCTGCTACTGTCATGGATGTACATCTTGCAATCCAGTCCAGAGATACATAACAGTGTTGTCTGTCCCTGTGGTGCTTTGTCTCCCTGCTCTTCCCACTCCCTCTTCTATGGTAGTATGGGTTTCTTATACAGAGTATGGTGGTAGTTACTTTTTGTTCACCAATTAAGGTAGTATCTGCAATGCATTTTAAGTAAGGGACCTATCGCTGTAGCTGCTGAAAGAAAGAATACGGTAGGTTTACACAAAAGGTATCTGATAAGAGGTAGGAACATGCCCTGAATCCTGATGTTCTTCCAAGAAAGAGCTGGCTGATCTGAACATGATAAGCAGGACCATCATCATCACCTAGACAGTAAAAGCACCTACTTCCTCGTATAAGGCTTATCATGCTACCAAGCCTGCAGTGCACAGCTACCAAGCCTGCAGTGCAGCACACCCAAGAAATCATACATGCAGCATCAGCTAGCTAAATGTACATCACTAAACCAGGCAAAATGAGGCGACCTATCTCGTCATCATCTGGGGCGCAGTATCTTGCCTCGCCGCGCCAAATTGCCCGCCTCATACACCATATAGTTAGTGAGCGCACGAGTTGCACTGGAGTGCCAGAGGAGCCCAGTGGGATGTAGGGATGCGGGGATGGGGTGGTGTTCGGGGAGGGAAAGGGGAGGGGGGAAGGTGGGATAAAGTGGGGGTAAGAGTGAGAAGCGGCTTGTGGAAGAGCTACAAAAGATTACAGAAGCGGCTTGTGGCCGGGCTGAGCAACAAAAGATGAAATTTGTGGGTGAGGATAGGATAGTGTAAGAATGAGGAGAGGCAGAGAAAGGAAGATAACTGGGAAGAGGAAGACCACTAGCACAGCTAGATGTCCCTGAACGGACTTAAGTGTAATCAGTAAGTGAACTCGGATGCTGGAACATAGCATACTGGGTGAGTGCATGAGGGTGTCTTTACTGGCCCAACAGGAATCAGTGAACAAGAAAAAAGTGACGAATTCTATCAATCAAGCGCCCAACGCATGCAGACAAAACGCACGACAATAGCATCTAAAAAACACTAAATGGAGACATGAGCAGCAGCAGCAGCACATACTAAGAGATGCACACCATTAAGAGAGGCATAACACAAAGAGGCGCCGTGCCTACCTCTCCTTGAGCTCTGCGATCTTTGCGGGGTCTGTCTCGTGCATGTGCTTCCTGAACTCGCTGCGGATGTGCTCTCGCACCGCTGGCCCTCGGCCCCTCTGATGCAGCCCGGCAGGCGGGAGGTCAAAGATAGGAGAGCAGGCAGGCGGGCACGCAGGCAGACGGACAAGAAAGCAGGCAGGTAGGCAGGCAAGCAGGCAGGTGGGGAGGTAGGGAGGTAGGGACGGGGGAAGGGAGGCAGCGGGTCAGAAAGAAGGTGCAAGAGGGTGATCGTGCGGTGGCTGTGTGGTGGCTGTGCCCTGTACGAGGTGTTGTGCAAAGAGGGGTTTCGCGATGCAAAAACAAGCAGGGTTGAATTTCACATAGAGCACTTGTCCAAACACGATATCAAAGGGAATGGAAGCCAGGGACGGGTGGGGGGGAGGAGAAGCAAATGCAGAGGAAAGAGGAGCAGAAGCAATATAGAAGAGAGGATAAAAGGGGAGGCGGAGGAGCAGAGGAGGAAGGAGAGGGTGAGTTGGAAGGAGCTGATGCGGGAGAGGAAGAGGGAGGGAGGGAGAGTCGCACCGAGTGAGTGAGGTAATCTGCCATGCGAAGACAGTCACGGTATAGCTGCTCAGGACACCATCGCAGCCGTTCATACGCCATCGCAGCCGTTCATACGCCATCACAGCCGTTCATACGCCATCACAGCCGCCCACAGACCATCACAGTCGTCCACCGCACATCAACACCATCACAACCGTCCATACCCCTCACCCAAGCAACAGTTGCAGACCTCATACGAATACCACCAACCCCCCCCCTTACCCTCTCTCCCGGGCCCACCCACCATCCACACGCAAGGAAAGCGGGGGAAACACACGGGTGGAAATCGGAACAAAGATTTGGCAAAGCGCAGCGACGGGGAGCAACGGGAGAGCTGGACGGGGGCGGGAGATGCGAGAGACAGAGAGACAGAGCACGCGAGGACGAGAGTGAAAGCGAGAACGAATACGAGAACGAGAACAAGAACGATAGCGAGCAGAAAGAGAGCGACCTAGTCCGATTGGTTGCGGAACAGAGAGCTAGGGTGGCGGAGGAAGCGGAAGCGCGCGAGGGATGCGCGTGACGGGAGCAAGAACGGGAGAAAGCATCGAAACAGATCACAGAAGCAAAAACGCATGCGAGTGACAGTAGCGAGCGGCAGCACTCACGCGAACGACGTTCTCTGCGACGTGAGCAGGGACCAATCGCGGCAGGCCCGCCATGGCTGCAACGAAGCAGGGATCTACGGTTCGAGACGGTCTGATATGGTCTGTGTGGCATCAGTTACGTTGAACATTTTAATGCTTCGTTTGCTGCTGACGCGCTGTAAGATACGGAAACTGCACAAATGAACATTTCCCTCATGCACTCAAAATTGATTCCAATAAAGAACATTTCTCTCGGTTTCGTTTGTTTCATTTGCAATATGTATATTGCTCTGCATTTGCTAGTCCCATCAATCATCCATTGAACCAGTTATAAGGAAATAACAAGAATCATCACACAACTCTAATGCTAATGCTTCTATGAAGCATCATAACAAAGAAGCAAGGGAACAACGAAGGCACAGCACGCAAAGATTGGTTGCATGGAATCTAGTGGCAGGCAACCTGGCGACTGTTCTGCCTCTCATACGGTGTACGTAGCGCAGCAAGCGAGCCACCGAATTCAGTTTCAGCTAACTAGGGAATATGTCATACAGGCCATCCCACCCAGCACCCACACATGCACAAGTACCATGATCCAGCTACGATAACCCCGAGGGGATGGACGAGATTGTTAAGGCTGGATGCGCGCTAGCACGTGACAGAGGGATAAACCCTCCCCCTTTGCATCCGCCTGACTGCTGCGACTCACACACGGGCGAAGCATCGTGTCGTAACACCCCATTTAACGCCCCACCCGCAAACGGCAGCACAGTCTCAGCAACAGCAAGCGGAAGCCCTCGCACCCCTCCAGGTACTCCCAAACCCGAGCCTGTAAGCCCATACAGGCCGTTACCCGAGCCTGTGTAGTCGTTTGTAGTGGACGGAGAGTCAACCGAAACAGTGGTGGTAACCGGGTTGGTGTCTGCAGTCTGAGTCTGCTGGTTGGACTGCACTGTAGACGCGCTGCCGAGCCCTGGGCCGTCTCGATACACCTTGGAGCGCTGGTTGTTAGTGGCGCCCTGATTGTTGATGCTACCTGCGTTCCTCTCCTGCTGGTACATGGTGTTTCCAGAGCCTGCGAGCACCTGCTTCTGGCTGCCACGGAAGGGATGGCCTCGGAGCAGTGGCTGGGATGGAAGCAGAGGTGGTAGCAGCTGTTGGGTCGACAGCTGTAGAGGGGAGAGAGCAGAGAGGGCGAAAGGGAAGGAGAGAGAGAGAGAGAGAGAGAGAGAGAGAGAGAGAGAGAGAGAGAGAGAGAGAGAGAGAGAGGAGGGAGAGAGGGAAAGACAGGTCTTGGTGTGAGGCAGTGCAGTTACCAAAGGCTTGAGTGGAGTTACGCTCACAAAAGTGTGACATGGCATCATGAGTGCGTACTACAATTAACCAGCATGCAAGGCCAAGGACGTTATGCACGTGCTAAACCGTGATAAATCACGAGCTTGAGAAGACAAAACCTAAGAAAAATCGGCTCAAGCTTCGAATGAACTTGGGAGAGTTATTCTCAGCCGATAACAATTCTCGCATCCTTCTCGTGCCCCCCGCATCATGCTTCTTCCTCTCACCTCAACGGCGGGCATCGGATACAAGCCGTCAGACAGCAAGCTCTTCCACAGCGCTGCACTCCCCACGTTTCCTGCTGCCGTGGCACCACATAGCGGCACCATAAAGAACCCCAGACGCAGCAGGTGAAACGGAAACATAGCAACGTCTTACATGCGCGACCTGCCTGGGAGACTAGTGTCGATTTGTGTCTTAAATTACGGAAAGGGGTTTCTGAACGGCGACTCGCTAAGAACGAGGAGGCGGCGACGAAAGCCATTAGCAAGCCGAAGCGGACAGATTCCGTTACTGCGACTCCGGCCAGACCTTACTATTGCCGTCGTCATTGTCGAGACTCCTTGCGATGATATGAGACTAGAACAAAAACAAACTTATTTTGCCTATTCCGTAAGTTCACACCAGGATTTGTGCGTATATTGAAGCTGTCCCGCATATGCACAACGCGGAAAAGATTCGTCGTCATATCCGATAATGAGCATCGTGTGAAGCACAAATCCTGGTGAAGCGCAGCAAGCGACGGGGCAGCAGCCTCTGCAGGTATTGTCGTGGGCGTTCGATTCCAGATAGCTGCCTCTAGCACACCGTGATCAGCTTTGGTGCTCTGTTCGAGATGCTTGGGAAGATCCGTTTGTAGGATGTTCAAACAAGGTGTTACGTGCCGGTAAATACAAACAGGATTATAATAAATGAAGTAAATCATGAGGTGTAACAAGAACAAAACAAACAGCATGCAGAAAGATTATAATGGATTTTATGTGTTCTAATTAGTTTAATGTTTCTCTCTCATATGAAATGAATGAATTCTATGATTTTCTTCATGTGTTTTTTGTACAGAGGTCTCGGAAGCTACGATAATGGAAATTTGTTGACAACGGGTACACTACGATTCTGGATTGCACTGATATATGCTCTTGCGGGTCAGTACACGTGGTGGTGATCAAAGCATTTTCGGGGATGGCGGACCGCTGCATGCATCCAGCTAATCGCTCTCCGCATGTCCAACATTGAAGGAGAGAAGGCGAATTCGCAATCTCTCCTCTTGGCGTTCTGGAAGATCCGTCTATTTCAAGGTTTTTTTTTTGTCTCAGTAAAACGACCATTCGCTTATTAGGGACCTTTCGCTTCCACTCCATACACACCAGAGCATTCTCTTTGGTTGAAGAAATAATCTTGATTCGCTTCTCATATTCGTTGACGGTCGCAAAAATGCAAACCACCAGCGAGAAAGAAAAGCATGAAGTTGTTCCTCGAGAGGAGGTGGAAACCATTGGAGGCAGCGCAGAGCAGGTGAGTATGTAGGTAGTACTCACCCTTGATGGCGCAAGAAGGTGCAACCCTGGGGAACTTCACGTTCCCTATCCACGTTTCCGCAGTCTGAAACTGTGTTTTCCATGCTTGCGATGCATGTTAGAGTGTCTTTCTTCCTTTCAAATTCCCCGCGAACCTCAGAAGCAGGAAATTGCAGGCAAGCCCATCACCCCGCAAGACGCGGCTGAAGCCAAATCAGAAGCAATGATGGCTGGAGAGCCAACAGGCAAGGGAAGCCTGCCAGCACGAATGGAGGTAAGACGGAACCATATCAAATTCTGGTTTCTGGTGTTGTCTTAGGTGCCACAATACTCACTTTGGTAGATACACGATCACCAAGGAACCAGCCGCTTACTAATTTCCTTCTTTTTCTGCCAAATCGAAGCTTTCTTCGCATGTCTCAGGCACTCAGTGCTTCTGTGGTGCTCGCCCCCATGTTAACCGTGCGTATTTCTTCTTCCATTGCGTACAGGCAGCAGCCGCGTTCAACGTGAGGGAGCACGTGGTGCCACCTGTGGGGACCAAGGAGACAGGCACAGAGCGGGATAAGCGTGTGGGCAAGGGCGAGGGAAAGATTGACCATCGCCACATAGAGCATGGGGGAAAAAAGTATGCGTAGGAGAATGCCATACATAATTACTACGGTATCCTACTGTGTTTATGCCGGTAGATTTGGCCAAGTGGTCTAGACTGGCTGGCGATGTGATCATTTGGGTGGTGGGGGGTGGTGGTGATGCAGGTGAATTGAACGTAAATGTTTTCAATCTGGGAAATAAGAACAGCAGTTACGGTGATGGAAAGGGTTTCTTCTACAGCAGCACCGTAGTAGTGAAACATGTTAGTGCTGGCATCACTCATTCTTCTGTGTTATATAGACTTACGTAATACACACATAATACAGATAAGCACTGCCAAAAAAGCAAGAACATCAATCTGCTTGGCTTTTGCCAATCAAAATGAAGCTCTGTCGCCTTTCCCAGATACGGCAATCTCCCAACCTCCTACTCTCTCCCACTTCCTAGCTCGCCTCCCAGTTCTCCCAGTATCTCACACAACAATTCTCGCACATAATTATCAACTTGCAGGTACGGAAGAAGAACGATGTACGTCTCCCTTGCCATGCTTCAGGAAACATTTAACTTCCACCACCAGCATATGTCGCCTGGCCTCTCCAATTCAACTTGTCCTGCCCGGCGCCCAGTCCCTGCAGGGCGTCCCTGCTCCTCTCTTTGTGTGTTTCCTGGGCAGGCAGGCAGGCAGGTTCTCCACTTCAGGGGCACCACCGTTGGCAACTCCGTAGAACGCTTGGTTTGATAAAGGCTGTGTACCCGTGCACCACGTGCACGGGTGGTGTGCCAAGCAGCAGTGAGAGACAGTCTCAGGATGGCGGCTTCAAGGGAGTGATGATGATCTGTGTGTGACACACATCCCAACGCGGAAGCACGGAAGAATTTAGAAAGTCTGTACAATGTGACGAAATTGAAGATGTGTCTCAACTGCATTTCATTTGCTGTTCCAGAATATTTTAAGACCGACTTTTTGAGACATGCAGACCACCATAGTCACATCCTCTCTCTCCATTCTCCATGCGCATACCGTCAAATCCCTTCCCTCCTCATTTTCACCCATCTGTTGCAAGCTCACCTTCTGGTTAGCAGCCTTGCAGTGGCTGTACAGGCCGGATACGAAGTAGGTGGTGCTGGTGATGGGGTTGGTGAAGCACCCCTGCCCGCCTCCGTCCGTACCGTTACAGTACGACACGTAGTTGGTGTAGACGCAGTTGTTATAGTCGGAAAGTGTGGGCACAATGTACACCTCGTCCTTGTAAGGCGGATACTTGAACACTGGAGTGGAGGAGAATCAGAGAAAAAACACTTGTCAGACCAGGATGCATGTCAATTACCAAAGAATCTAACTCTTATCCAGAATGTTACCACCCAATCCTTCCACCCAAAGTTCTACCGTATTCGCCACTCACCAAGCGTGTCGCCCACGTAAACTTTATTCGCGCTCGCCCACTTCGCCAGCTGCGCCTCGGGATTCCACTGCCACGCGAACTGTTCCGACATGTACCCAACCACGAGCGTGCGGGGAGAATACGGGCGCGCGGAAGCCTTCACCAAGAGCTTCTGCCCCGCCTTGCAGTGCCCGTACAGCCCCGACGCGTACATGGCCGGCGCGGCGGTCACGCGGAGGGCGCACCCGTTTTGGCCCCAAGAGTCGTAGCAGATAATTTTGGCCGCGCGGAAGTTGCACGATTTGAAGTCCGCCAGAGTCGAAAATTGCACCACCTCTTCCTGGAACGCCGGGTATTTGAAAACTGCGGACACGAGGGAAGGGGAGGGCAGGAGGAGGCACAAAACCATAAGTTTGCAAGCACGTGATTGGGATACAATTTTGAGGAATATTTTTGGAGACTTCCAGGTTACTCCAGAAAGTGTTGCAACTCGCATCCAGCACAGCATCCCATCCAGTCCTCCATCGCGTGCGTCACGTACCCACGAAGTCTCCCGCGTAGAGCTTATTGGCCGCAATCCACGCGTTGTAGTTCACCGCCGGGTTCCACGGGTAGTTGTACCCGCCGGCAGCTGCCCCCACGATCACCCGCCGCCCGCCTGCTGCGGCGGTGCTTACGAGGGATGGCGCGTCGGGCGGCCGCCACAGCCGCTCGGGTAGGTCTAGACTGCTGTTGCCATTTTTACTGCTTCTGCTGCTGCTGCTGCTGCTGCTAGAATCAACGCTGCGAATGCTGCTGATGCTGCTGCGACGAAAATGCATGGACGGCGAGCTTGTGCTGTCGTTAACACTGTCGCTGTCCGTGCTGCTCCTCCCCTCACTCCCGTGCGAATCAGAGCTGACGTGTTCCGAACCACTTTCTCGTGGTCGTATCACGACCTGTGAAAGGCACGAGCAACCGCTTGACATTAGTTCTATTCAGAGTACGGTAATGCAAAACCGTCACCACTGAAACGAACTGGCCCCGTTATCCGTCCCACAATCACAACAAAGTATTCGCGCAGTGAGCAATTCGTTCGAGACTACAAGCTCACCCTTTGTCCCGCGCGGCAGTGATCAACCTTTGACGTTAAATAAAGCGTACGTGGCGCGACGACCACGCGGCACCCCCTCACATGTCCACCTCGGTCGCTGCTCCTGCCGCCCTCACCGTCCATTGAGTCGCACAGCAACCTCGCGTCGTCCAGGCGACAGTCGTCTAAGTCGCCCTGCGACGGCACTTCGTACACAACTTCTTCGCCTGACTCGTATTGAAACACTGTAACGAGAGGAGCACGACAGAAACAGTGGAAAGGACGCGACAGGTGGGAGGAAAAATCAGTAGCATGAGCAACTGCTGACCGCATTGGAAAAAAATATGAAGGGAGCTGATATGCATGGGGCAAAGAGTTACAGCGAGGGAGTTGCGCATGGTCGTCCTTTTCTATAAAAAAAATCGTGGAACACTTGAAGTCAAGAACCTGTTGTAGCTGCAAAGGTCGTTTCTTTGTATAAATATAATTTCCTCTACTAGTAATATCGTTTTTAATCACGGGCGCAAGCGACTACACACGCGACAAACGCAGGAGAAAGGGAAACACCTACCCAGGGTATCGCCTGCAATGACAGGGAAGGTAGCGGCCCATTTTGTGTAGTTCACGACAGGATTCCACGGATAGTTGAAGCCGTCTATGTGCCGTTGACCCACAATGACGAAGCGCCCGAGAGAGGGGGTGAAGAGGGAGAAGAGAGCCAGAGTGAGGAGGAGCAGAGGCTGGTAGTTGGACAGGGAGAGAAGAATGGACGGTTGAGGGCGGGGGAGTGAAGGAGTTGCGCGGCGGCGGCGCAGTCGAGGCGGTTTTTGCGGGAGCATGGCGGCAGCGACAGACGGGAGTCGGGGCGCCTTCGACTGCTGCGGCGGCGGTCGCTGGGTTAAACTGATTTTCGCTGTTTGGCCGTTAAGGGAGGGATCTAATGGGCGGTCTGGGTTCTCTGGTTGCAAGCCTACGCTAGCGGATGTTAATCTCTCGTTAGGTGCGTCCAAGTGATCGCATCTGCTTCTTTCATTATCGCGTACGACGGTTGGTGAGGTACCGCTTCTAGGTAGAGGTCGTTCCGCCATCTCTGTAACGATCGGACGATGCTCTACTCGTGCTAACGAAACCTCCTCGTCAAGTGCGCGCCATCTCGACACTCGCTCCTCACAGTTTCGCATCTCCGGTGAAGCATAAGCAGCACTGGCATTGCAAGGCTAGGCATACAGAGGTGGTGGCTGTCAGTTCCACAGCACAGAATGACAAGGGACGAAACCTGCGACCAACGGAAGAGGGCGCAAGAAATGGTTGAGTGCGTGGGCTGATTGTGGTGCACTGGCAGAAAGGTACTGTGCATTGCCGACGAGACGATGCTTGCTTGGCGCTTCCCTCGTGCTTACCTGCTCGGCATTCTGCAGCGAAGGCCAACATCCACCTCCGAACCGCGCATCAACCACGTACGAGCCGCGACTTCCATTGTGGAATGCTTCCGACAAGAGGGCGCGGCGGGGTATCGTACAAGACGGGGACGTGGTAAAGATACATGCCACGTGGCGAAGTTACCATCCAGGCGAGTTTCGCAGCACTCCAAAAAGTGGAATGTTGGATCAAGGGCTGGGGCAGTTGCGTGGGGCTGCAGGGGCGCAAGGAGTGGTTGACGTGGGCAAGTGTCGGCGCGCTGTCAGATTCAAGACACACGAAGCCTGCAGGACATATGGCTTCTAGACAATGAATCCCTTCAAAAAAATACACGCGGCGTTTTAATATTTCTGGAGCACATAATTAACCTTAGTGACATTTGATGTCAATGTATATGTCAATGTTCCACAGCATAGCTTGATAATCGTAAAAAAAACACGTAAATACACTCAAATATTTTTTAATTAGAAAAATGCTTAAAATATTTCTCTACTATACATAAAAGCATTAATCATAACTGCTAATCTTTCAGCCGTTAAAAGAGTATATACATGAAAGCAATTATGAATATACAAGGATAGAAGGCAATCTGGATGAGATTTACATGAGATGGCTAATGTGGTTTAAAATAAACGGTAACCTGCACTCCAACACTACCAAACACACTATCCATATGCTATCTATTTTACAGTCCTGGTGGTGTTTGGGACCCAGTAGAAACTGTTTTTTTTTCTTCGCCAGTTTTCGCAGGCGCTCTCTAAACCAGGCGCCCAGCAAGTCAACCAGAATCTGCTAGATTTTCCGTCAATAATTCCCACGACGGTACTACTAGCGGCCCCTTGCCGCGCGTCTCGGCTAACTTGTACAGGCAAAATCGCCGCTCCGCTCCCCCACCTTTCCGCCATGCTCCCAGCAGCGCCGCACAGAACCGCCGCTGGCAAGCGCAGTTTCCGCACGCGCAGCGGCAGCTGCGCCAGCAGCGCTTTCCTCGCCGCCCTCCTCCTGCTTCTCCTCGCACGCGCCGCGATCTGCGACCGTAAGCCTATGGTAGCGTATTTAGTATCAAGTTGCATGCCCATCGTCGCATTCTCTAGTATCGAGTATCGCCCGAATTTTGGACCTTTGACCCCTGTGTCAACCATCCCCGTCAACATGCAATCAAAGCGCGCCGTATGGCGCATCTCGCGCGAATCATGCAACCGACTGCGCCGATTGCGCTTTCTTAGTATGTTCCCGCTGCTCGTCATATTCCTTCCACGGCCTCTCTCCCTCCCTCCCTCCCTCCCTCCCTCCCCACTTCCACCCCGCTCCCTTTTCCAGCATCACCCGTGTCGTTGCGGTGGATTCGCCTGGAGCAGACGCACGACATGCTGGGGTGGACGCCGTCCGTCTACTTCCAGTGCGAGGGCGAGGACAAGCGCGCGCTCACGGGCGTTGTGAGCGCCAATACAGACTTCAACTTCACTCTGCACGAGTCGTTCCAGGTGCGGGGTGTGGAACCGGGGTTATGAGGGGGAGGCGTGGGGAGGAGGGGATGAGGGCGGGGGGAATTGCAATTTCACCCTGCACGCACTCTTGGGCGTCGAGAGCGCCGATGTGGATTATCATTCACCCTGCATGGGTCGGTCCAGGTGCTGTGGAGGGGAGGGAGGGGGAGCGGGGGTGGGGGAGGGATATGGGGTTGGAAGGGGAAAGGAGGGGCTTTGCTGTTGGTGTGGGTGTGGGCGAATGCGGAGGAGGAGTCATTCCACGGGGCCTCTCAGTGGACTCTGAAACTTTCCTTGGGCGTGTCGTTCAAAAACTGATGCGTATCACCCATTCTCACTCTGCCCTCTCACACTGCCCTCTCACACTGCCCTCTCACACTGCCCTCTCACTCTGGCTGCTTTTCAGATGCACTCTTACACGACCCAGACGCACACTGCACACGATTCCCACCCATGCCCCCGTGCCCATGCACAGCAGTGGCCCCGTTGGAAACTGCACAACCCATCCTGACCGCCATGAACCGCACCACTCATTACACGCTCACAACATGCTCACCTTTGCCATCTTGGAGCTCTGTTCCCTTGGCTTCTCCCACCCGTGCCATCCCCCACCCGTGCCATCCCCCACCCGTGCCATCCCCCACCCGTGCCATCCCCCACCCGTGCCATCCCCCACCCGTGCCATCCCCCACCCGTGCCATCCCCCACCCATGCCATCCCCCACCCCCATCCATCATCCCCTGCCCCTGAGAAAAATTCAGCCGCCTCAGTGCAAGCAGTGCGATGTGCTTGAAACGCACATTGTAATTCTCGCCTTCACCCACCCGTTCCACCCGCGCTCCCCGCCACCCCCCACTTCTCACCAGCCCCTGACAGAACTCCAGCCACCGCAGTGCAAGCGGTGCGGCTTGTTCGAGGCGGATTCATGGACGCGAGACGACACCTTTGCAATCTTCGAGCTCTGCCCCCTCGCCTTCTCTGCGCCGCCTGCCAGCCAGTTGCATCTCAACTTCACTGGGGAGTTCCGCGCTGTGCTCTCCTGCCCTGCCTGCAACCCCAATGGCAAAGCGCTTTACTCTGAAGGTGGGGCACGGTGGGGAGGGAGGCTGGGTCTGGAGAGTAGTGTCGGGTGAGGGGGGGTGGGGTGGCGGGTGTGCGATACTGGAGATGTTCTGGCCTTTGCTGTGGATATGCCACAGTGGGGAAGGGAGTGAGTGTGTTTTATCTCAACCTCACTGCGGTGTTCCATCCCGTGCTTTCCTGCCCTGCTTGCAACCCCAATGGAAAAGCGCTTTGCTCCAAAGGTGGGGGATGGTTGGGGGAGTCATGGGGCGCGTCAGGACTCGGTTGGGGGAAGCGGAAGGGCGGGTTTGGGAGGGTAGTGAGTGGGGTGAAGGGGGGTGTTGAGGGGTGGTGAGTTGTTTGGAGTGTTCGATGCTGGACATGTGCTGCTGTCTGCTGTGGATCTGACACAGTGGGGAATGAGCAGCCTGCGCCGCACTCCCAGTCATTCTTCCCCCTCACCACCCTTCAACCCTCCCCTACCCACCCCACACCTGCAGAAGGAACAGCCGACAGCGGTCCACTCTCCCCCATCCTCATCACGTTCGCAGTCATAGGCGGCCTCTCATGCCTTGCTGCACTCTTACCTCCTTCCCCCCATTCACTTCTCCCCACACCCCCCCCACCCACCTCATACCTGCAGAAGGAACAGCAGACAGCGGCCCGCTCTCCCCCATCCTCATCACCTTCGCAGTCATAGGCGGCCTCGCATGCCTCGCTGGCCTCGTCGCTCTCCTCGTCTTCCTCGCCCGTCGCAACCACTACTCTTTCTCCTTCACGCTCCCGCTCTTCCTGCGGCGCCGCATCGACCCCAACACGGCCAAGTTCCTGGAGATGTTTGAGGAGGAGGAGGATGGGTTGATGGAGGCGCGGTTGAGGCATGGCGGAGAGGGGCTGGGGGGTTCGTTAGTGGATTCTTCTGCGGTGGTGGTTGGGGATGGGAGGGCAGGGACAGGTTTCACTATTGCTCCGGATCACTCGCGGCAGGATGATTGATATGTGTTGAATTGGTGTGATGTGATTATGCGTATGTAATATGCCTGCAGCGTAGGGTAGAGAAGTGGGCTGGAATTGTATTAGGGCAGGGGATTTAGCATACTTTGTTGCACTGTACGGTTGTAATGTACGGTAGGTTGCACAGCCACTGCAATGTATATGCCCTTATGTTTGCATTTGCTTACAATCAGGGCTCTCGTGTCAGAATGAGAACTACAGCGGAATGTGTTGCATTGACAGAATTGGGGTACATAACCTAACCCTAACTAGTTGTACCCCATATAGCCCAACCCACTACAGGCTATAATATTTGACACACCCCCATAGCCTAAGTGGGGAAGGCCAATCAACAACAAGCAACCTACGGTCACAAGACCAGTCAAAAGCAAGAGAAAGAAAACAAAGCTCAGGGTGGATCACAACGTCACCACCTAATCTGAGCACAAGCAAAGGGCCACAAGGCCAGTCCAAAAGTGTGCAAACAAATATATATAAGGTACAAGCAAGCAACAGACAAAGAGCACCCTACAGCAGTCAACTAGACCCAGTCTCAACGAGGCCTAACTGCAGACAAAACCGGCGGTGGTCACAAGGCTGGAGGGCCTTGGTGAAGATGTCTGCAGTGTTGGCCTCGGAGGCCACAAAGTCCAGACGAGCCTGTCCGCGTCTCTGCAACTCTCGAAGGAGGAAGTACCTGACGTCAATGTGCTTCACTCTGCTCTCCAGTCGCGGCTCACGACACAGGAGAATCATCGCCTTGTTGTCAGCAAACAAGGTCGGTGCAGAGCTCGGCCGCTCGCCAAGGTCAGTGAGCAAGAAGGTCAACCAGCGCAGCTCCTGTGCAGCAAGGGCTCCAGCGTAGATCTCGGCCTCTGCGGTAGAAGTCGCAACAGAGGAGGACCGAGTAGACCTCCACGAAACAGCTCCAGAACCCAGACTGAAACAGTAACCCTGTGTAGACCTCTGAGTCTCAGCGTCGTCAGCGTACGAGGAGTCACAGTGACCGGTGAGAACAACTGGCTGAGTCCCTCCAAGTACAAGCCCCATGTCTGACGTCGTGGCCAGGTACTTCGCCACCCTCTTAGCCGCCGTCCAGTGAACAGGACGGTGTCTCCCAGTCGCAACAAAGCGAGAAAGGATGCTAAGAGGGAAGGCGAGGTCCGGGCGAGTGCACGTCATCAGGTACATGAGGCAGCCCACCAGCTCTGCGTAGGGACCACTGGGCTCGAACGGCTCGTCAGGAAAAGGCCCAGTGAGTCTGTGGTCTACAGCAAGAGGAGTGGGTGTGGGAGAGGAGTGCTGAAGCCCGAACCGCTGAAGGACCTGCTGCACCATGTGTGACTGAGTCAGAGTGATGGTGCGAGCGGCTCTGTCCCTGGAGATCTGCAAGCCAAGGTAGCGGCGCAGTTCCCCAAGGTCAGTGCAGGTGTGTCTCTTCTGCAATTCGGACTTCACCTCCGCCAGTGCAACAGTGTCGGCTGTGGCGAAGACCAAGTCGTCAACGTAGACCAGAACAAAGAAAGGTGTGCGCCCACGACGAACAAACAGCGACGGGTCGGCGGAGGACGGCTGAAAACCAAGGTCGGAAAGAGTAGAACGAAGAGTGTCGTGCCACTCGCGGGGTGCCTGGCGGAGACCGTAGACCGGTCGTCTGAGGCTCCACTGGGTCCCAGGCGGGAAGGTGCCAGTGAAGCCCGGAGGACGACGCAGCCAGATCTCCTCGTGTAGGCGGCCCTGCAGGAACGCTGTGGAGAAGTCGAGGGAGTGTAGCTCGTAGTCTCTCTGCGCCGCTACGTGAAGCAACACCCGAAGAGTGGTCATCTTCGGGGTGGGCGCAAAGGTCTGAAAGAAGTCAACCCCCTCGCGCTGACTAAACCCTCTAGCCACGTAACGTGCCTTGAAGACTGGGGGAGATCCCGGCGGCCGCTTCACCTTGAAGATCCACATGCCGTCGACTATGTTCGCCCCTGGTGGGGGAACGTCGTCAACGTAAGTGCCTGTGGACCTGTAGGAGGCCATCTCTGCGTCCATGGCAGCTCGCCACTGAGAGGCCCAAGGCCCTGACACTGCCTCAGCGTAAGTGCGAGGAGTAGGTATGTCAGGAGCGTCGGGGTCACCCTCAGGAGCAAGGAGCATGGCACAGAGATGAGGCGAAGCGGCTGCTAGGAACTCTAGCTCAAACTGTCTGTCCTCTAGGACGTCACAGCCAAGGGCAGACACACCCCCGGCGGACAGAGGACGGACAGGAGGAGCTGCCACAACACGAGTGGCGTAGTCAAGGCGACGCGTGGCAGTAAAGTCAGTGACAGCGGCAGTGAGGACTGCGACAGAGGAAGGAGAGGCACGAGGGTCTGTAACAAGAGAGGCGAGAACGCGAGAGAGAGTGGGACGGTAAGTGCGGTAGTAGTCAGTGACAGGAGTGGACAGGGCGGCAGTGAGGGACGACTCAGGAGGACGAGGGAGAACAGACGGAGGAGAACGAGGAGGGCTAGGGTGAAACAAGGCGGCACGGAGGTCAGTGACGGGGGACGAGGGACGAGCACGAGGAGAACGAGGAGCCCAAGTGTGGGCAAGTGGAGAGGGAGAGGGGGGAGAGCGAGAACGAGGGAACACAGCCGGAGCTGAGTCCGGAGGAGGAAACGTAGGACCGAACACAGGAGGAGAGGAGGGGAGACCAAGGGCCCGAAGGCCAGAAACAGGGGCCGGAGACTGCTCCGGCTGCTGCTGCTGCTGCTGCTGCTGCTGCTGCTGCTGCTGCGACGGCGGCGGCTGCTGCTGCTGCTGCTGCTCCCGCTGCAACTCCAACCTCTCACGCTCCACCCGCTGCTGAACCTCCAACCTCTCGCGCTCCAAACGCTGCTGCTCCTCACGCTCAAGACGAAGACGGGCCTGGTGTCGAGTCGGGTAGGAGTGAGGAGGAGGAGTGAGGTCAGGAGAGGAAGACGAAGAACCGGCTCCACCCTCGACAGCGCCCGGCTGAGCACCCCCAGAGCGAGTGCCCCCCGCTGCAGCACGACCAGCACCTGTGGAAGGCAAACCCGCACCCCCAGTCGTGGTGCGCCCAGTGGCACCAGCACCAGCCCCAGACTCTCCAGCTCCAGAAACACGACCAGCTCCAGCACCACCACCGACTCCAACACGCTCGGGACGTGCAGCTGCGGCAGGTGCACGCTCAGCTCCAACTCCAACACCCCCAGAACCGGCACCGCCAGAGCCCTCACCTCGAGCACCAACACCCTCAGAGTCCGCAGTGGCCGGGAGAGGAAGCGCCGACGGCTGCTGCGGAGGCTGTGAGGACGACTGTGGGGAAGGAGGAGAGACCTGGGGGGGTACCAAGGGAGGGGGGGTAGCCTGTGACACACCTGACGGAGCGGGAACCTGGGGGGTAACCGGAGGAGAGGGAGCGGGAGGAGGAGGAGCTGGGGCGAGGAAGAGGGGAGGGGGGGGAACCGGGAGACCTCGACAGGGGTACCGGACGTAGTAGGGGACGGACTCGTCGAAACTGACGTCACGAGAGTCAAAGAACCGGTGGGAGGGAGGGTGGTAAAAGGTGAAGTCAGAGGAGGCCTCAGGGAAACCAAGGAAGACACAGGGGACGCCGCGAGGTGAGAGCTTGTCCGCAGAGGTGTCGCGGACAAGCGCCAAGCAGCCCCAGACACTAAACCTCGACGCAACACCAGGGGACCCTGTCCAAAGACTGGTCGGTGAAGCCCCTGGCCGAGAGACGCGAGGCCAAAGGTTCAGCTGGTGAGCGGCGTACCGAGCCGCGTAGGGCCACAGAAAATGGGGCGCGCGGGCGTGGATCATGGAGGTGCGGGCAATCTCCATGACCAGGCCTAGCCGGCGCTCAGCAACCCCATTCTGCTGTGGAGAGTCTGGAAGAGTCCAGGACTGGGTGATGCCCTGCTCAGCACAGAATCTGGCGAGAATGCCGGAGCGAAACTCACCCCCACGGTTGGAGTGGAGACAACTGATACCATGTCAGAATGAGAACTACAGCGGAATGTGTTGCATTGACAGAATTGGGGTACATAACCTAACCCTAACTAGTTGTACCCCATATAGCCCAACCCACTACAGGCTATAATATTTGACATCTCGTTATCAGACCATTTTGGTCTGATGGTCTGAATTTCAGGCATATTTTTTTATATTCATCTGATTTTCCAATCCAGATCAGACAAAACAATGTCTTTGCCTGTGGGACCCGTCTGATGAATCAGACGCCCTCAAATCCTAGGAAGAGCCCTGCTTACAATGTTTGTTTGTTGGAAATACATTTGTGTTGTTGTGAAGAAAAGCAGGGAATATGGTGAGCAAAGGTGCCGTCAAACCTTAGGATTCAGAAGAACTTCATGGGACTGGAGCGCAAGTCTTGCAAGTGTGTTAAAAAACCTCCGTCCTGACACTGCCTTTTTCAATCAATTTTCTACTATTACTTGGAGCGATGTAGTACACACCTTGAACTGAGCAGCCCGTGTGGGTGCCGCGTCTGTACCCAAACGAATCATCCTTTAGTCAAACATAACGCCCTTGCCTCGCCTGCTCCAGTTCGTCCGCAGCTTCCTTCGAGTCAGCCTGACGTCATCACCTCTCGTCCTCTGCGTCTCTGACGGGCCCAGGTCAACGAACGGCCTGCTCCTCCTGTCCTGTCATGTGCTGTGCTGTCTGTGACGTGATGTGATATTTCAGCTCCGTCTATCGCGGTACTGTACAGCGAGTCTTGATTGGCCTCTTTCTTTCCCTACAACCTCGCACCCTCTGTCTGCTTCTTCCACAGGCGCAGCCCTCCCTCTTAGTTCCAATGCGAACCTTCTGACCCCCGAGCCGCGCTGGACAGAGCAACGCGTTCAAGCAACCTAAACGCTTCATCTCGTTCGTCGCGTGATTTTCATCTCAGCCGCACGTCAAACCAGCCTTTCCCCCGAAACGCTTTAGGTGCACTCGTCTCGTAACTTATACCGCACCCAGTCACCATCAGCGCACGGACATTCTTCACA